CCCACAATTAGATTACGCAGGGCGTACCTCCCTTGGTACGCTCAGCATACACAAGCGTACACGCGAATCCTGATCGGGGACACAAGATCAATACGCGAGGCGTACTGAAATTACGCAGGGCGTATGCCCATTTTTGCTTAATCCACTCTCGTGGTCTTAACCCGTTAAGACCATAGCTATACTCTCATATCTGGACTCCCTAAAGGCTCATACTCCATAAAGTTCATGACTTTAAGCCTTTGCATGGCTGAGGAAGTCCCAAACACAAAAAATCTCACTCTTTATGCCCAAAAATGCTCATATCTCATGAATGGGGTGGTTTTGACGTCCAAGACTCCATTTTTATGAATCCACTCCATTAAAAACACTCAAAGGGACAGATATTAGGCTCTGGAGTTCAACAACTCATAAAACTTCAAGCTTTGGGACCAAAAACCCTAAAATGGACCATATTATGCACAAATCAAAAAGGATGAGAAAGTTCTGAGATTTATACCTTCAAATGATGCTCCAACCACAGAAAAGCTCAGATCCAAAGCCTGGACTCCAACTCCATTCTCTTCAATACTCCTTCTTTATTCAAAGAATCCCACAAGAACACATAGAATCTCACAAATAGTTACTCCAAAATATTAGGGTTTCTTCCTGGACCTAGTACGTCCAGCGTACTAGGTGGCCTTCGTGTTCCTTCCACGCACATGAGTACGCCGAGCGTATACATAATTACGCCCCGCGTACTTAATTGCCACACATTTCATAATAAGGACTAAACTTGCCAAAACTTCAAACTATCGTAGCTTCTTCGTTACAAGTCCGTTTCCAACGAACCTTATATCCCCGGAAAGGTGGCGAGAAGCCCTACATTTTTAGAAACTCGTCGCAGCCCCGAGGCTTCCTCATGCCCGGGTTGCAGCCCATGAACCCTAAATCACGGACGATATGAAACAGGATGTTACAATTCTCCCCCACTTGAATTAGATTTCTCCCTCGAAATCGCTCCTTATCATTACCCAGATCACAACAATTAGCCCAAGAAGCACAACCGATTATTCGGAACATAACCGATCTCCCCAAGACAACCGAAATCAAACCGAACCCTCCAACTCGAAGAAGAAGAACGAACCCTTCACTGTTGCAGAACCAACTCTGCCTCTCAAAAACATGGAATTTGTAGAGGTATGTCTCCCCGACTGACCGCCCATTCGGTATATCCCCATGTCATTTACTCATCGAATATCAGACTCGATAAACATTTCCAACTCTGATTACTTGTTGCGACTGATGAAACAAGTCGTTAACCATAGATAGATACTGAACACTTATGCCCAGCTCACCAGTCGACTCCGACCGAAATCCAAAGAAACGGGGGTCGTCTCGCACCAATGGCCAACCTCCGATAATGTTATCAGAACCCATCTGAAGAGTGAACCTCAATACCTGGTCCTCAACACTAAATGAAGACTTGCCAATCCACATGGGAATCGAAACTCTACTCTAGGTCCAACCTCCCGTCAGACAGAATCGTTTCACTGCCGACCCCATGATGATTCAGCTTCGGCCCCAAAATCAATGTCCATGCCTGATCGAACAAGGACGACTCTTACTCGTGAAAAAATGAGATTTTGTCTAGTTCTCAATGGTTTAGTAATACTTAGTCAACTACTTGATTTATAAAGTTTCCTAATATTAATTGATGTTTACAACAAGATGAAATTATGGGACGTTGTATAATAAAAAATCCAAAAAATATGAATATCAATTCCAAGAATCATCAAACTTTATTTCCATAAGCTAAAAGGTGATATAGGGATTCTGTGAATTTTTGGGAATATTTTTGTTTGTATATTATTTATTTCAATATTATTCTTAAAATAATCAAGAAATTAAAAATGAATTTTGTAAAAGTCATGAAAAATTATGAAACCTTTATTACTATTATGGATAACATACTTAAGGTAAGAGAAAAAGTTTCTAGTTGTTTAGAACCTTAGAACTCAGTTTTATAAATTCATCACTACAGGGAAAAATTTAAATTCAATATCAAACATTGTCCAAATTATATGAAATATCAACTAGAGTCCTTATTTTTAATATACATAATTCTTATAAATTTTCAGAATTTATTAACTTCTGAAAATATTTGTTTCGAATTATTACTCTATTTTTAACTATTTTCATATAAAATTCAAGAAAATGTATTTGTAGCTAAAATATTCTAGATTATTTCATCATATCATAAGTTTATTGAGAAAAATTGGATTTCATTTTTTGTTATGTTGGATGGATGCATTTAAGCTCCATAATTTATGACAAAATTTTGCTTGTTTGTTTCTTGTTGGAAAATGTGGTTGTTAGTTTGGTAGTTTTTATAAACGGTTCCATAGACGTTTAATTGACAACCTTTGTACTCAAGTGATTTTATCATGTTAGAAAGTTGTGATAATTTTCCCAAAATTTCTAGATTTAAGAAAGTCTTTTGAACGATAACACAACAAACTACACCCTAGAAGAAATACCACAGAAATTTTGGTTAAGAAATGAAAGAGACATGGCTGTTAAAATTCCAAGGCAGAAAACTATTAACAACTTTACAAAAACGAATGTATGAAAATGAGCTGCATCTTTTAGCTCTTTCAAGGATTTCGGTTTCTTTTGCTTGGAGTAAGATAAAATGAATCCTTACTAACAATAATCTGTTAAAATATCGATTTTTATCATCAGTTCTAGCATGCAACAAAGCTGAAGGAAGTTAGAGTTTGTAAAGATCGATTTTTGGTGATATCTATGAGTTACATGTGCTTATCCTTTAATCTTGACTTGGATTGATCATGGAATATCACCATTTCCAGAACATGTAATATATTTTGGTGACATTCTGCAACATAAATATTCAAAATAAATATTCCTTGCAAACATAAGCCTTAGAATCCGAAAATGGAGAAATGACTAAACTTTGAAAATTTGTTAGGGGCTTTTAAGAGGTATATGTTCTATCTTGATTCTTGACTTTGTTATCTATCTTTAAGAACACTAAAAATATGGTTGGAGAGAGAGAGAGAGAGAGAGAGAGAGAGAGAGAGAGAGAGAGAGAGAGAGAGAGAGAGAGAGAGAGAGAGAGAGAGAGAGAGAATATAGACGAAATTGGAATGAGGAATAGGAGGGAAAAGATTGTACATGTACATTTATACATTTACTTAAGTTGGTGGGGGTTTATTTTTATTAATTATAAACCCAAAGTTAGGTTTTTATAAAAATGGAATTAAAAGATTATAAGATTTACATGTTTATTTATATTAATTATAAACCCAAAGAGAGGTTTTTATAAAAATGGAATTAAAAGATTATAAGATATACATGTTTATTTATATAGTATTTGAACTATTTATTTGGTCAATGATATGAATTCTAATAAATATGTTAATTAGAACTAGAAAATATTCCCCGGCGTTGCCGGGGTCGGAAGATATTGCTTTGTAAAGTAAAGTAGCATGTTGGTTGCTTTTTGTCCGTTAATATGAGGGTAATTTTGTCTTTTCAGGTAGTAGGGACTGAATTTGTCACCATGGGTAAACCATATGGACCATTTATGTAATTTTGGCGGTGGTGGTGGTGGTGGTGATGGCAGATGGTGGGTGGGTTTATGGTATTGGGTGGGTATTTTCTAATAAATAAAACATTAATTTAAAATCAAAAAGAGAATGTTAAATCTGGTAAACCACAGGGACCAATCGTCTAATTTTGTCTAACAATAATAATAATAATGATGAGGGACCATTTCTGCCAAAAGACTAAATACTAATAATATGTAATAAAAGGCGAGGGTTATGAAAAATTCAAACCAAAGTGAAAGGGTTGTTTGTGAACAAAAACATAAAAATGAAAGGGCAATCTTTTAAGTTGGAGGACCAAAATTGACAAAAAATGTGTCATTTTACTGTTAAAATCTTTCATAACTTTAATATATATATAATAATTAGATCGCCCACCCATACACATTGAAGCATATATACACTATCTTGTTTTTCTCTAATTATTGTTTGTCATAGTTTGGATTTGCTTTCTCCAAAGAGAGCTATCCGTACACAACAATTTTTCTCCATACACAACAATTGGTGCTTTAAAGTGTTGTATTGTACAACTATATAATGCATGAATTGTTGTGTATGACAAAAAACTATTGTGTACGAATCACTTCCCATCTCAAAAGTCAACATGGTTTGGCTTGCAAGGATCGCCATTCTCCAATCTCCCATATGACTACATAATAATTTCCTAATTTGCATATTATGTCCTTCCCCATCATAATTTTAATAAATGAAGTCCTATACACTACTAATTCGTTAAATATGAAGTCAATAGCATCTTTCATCGTTTTTACGCTTTTGACCTCTAAAGACTAACCCTAAATTAAACTTCTAAATTTTAGACATTTTCCCAAATTTGTCAAACAATTAATTTAGAATTTAAGTGGAAAATTGAAAATTTCCTCCCTCAAGTTTGAACAACTCGTCCAATTTAGTGTTTCCTCTATTATTTTCTATTTTTATAGTCGAAATTGACTATTTACGATAAATATGTAATGTAAAGATTCTATTAACTCATTTACATTTTCTTTCTTTCTATTTTCTTATTTTACTAGTTAGTTAATTTTTTTCAAGAAAAGAATATTTTCACTAAAAATAACAAAAACTATAGACACTATATTTGACGATGTTACAAACTAAATGTCACTCATCATAATGCCTACGTCGTTTTTTAATAATGTTGCTGCTAATATCCAACGTTCTTGTTGTATATATCATTGACAAAATGATAAGAAATATTAATTAAAAAAAATATAGTTCTAAATAAGAATCAATAAGGAGATTATATTATTTATATATGAAACGAAACTATATTTTACATTATTTAGAGTTCACATGATTCATAAATGTCGAATTGAAGTGTATAAGAAACAACCAATCAATAAAAACAAACATATGAGACATCAAACATCAAGCACAAATGACTTATAATTTTCCTATTTCGACGTACCATCATCATGTTCATGATCCATCAACAACCACGACCCATCTGCATGTCGAACCATCCCCTTGTGCTTCTGAACCCACCAAAAAGAAGGCACGTGATATTCATCCTTCAAACCATCTGAATATTTGTTTACTAGCGCAATATCACGTCTAACTTCTAAATTGAACCCTCCATTGCTACCTTGTGTACCCGCGACCCCATGTAAATAACTCTCCATGTCATGCCATCTTTGTATGTCTCCAGGACTCTTCAAATACGGCGACTTAGTTGTATCAATCGCCAACTCTTCTCCGACATGCAAGTACCCTATCTTCAATGGGTAGTGTGGAACCACATCATTTGCATTTTGAATGCGTAGGACATGGATATCTTTGTGTGAAGAAAAGAACTTATGAAAGTCTGAGTCACCCACACGAGGGCTAGCAAAAACAAAAGCGGTCACTGGAAATGTCTTGCTAGGCATACTCATCGTCTTGTTGAATCCGTTTGAGACAATATCAACAGCATTAAGCGTGGCAAGTGCTCCACCCATGCTATGTCCGACTACTGTTAAACTTAGTTCCTCATTCTTGTATAATTCAACTAATCGACTCACCTCTTCAAGAACCTACGCATAGTATACGTTACTAAATATTGCAATATATATTTTCGGTATTTTGTAAGCAAAAAAGATCATAAAGGAAACGAACTTGGTGCCGGGCACTTGTTTTGTTAAAAGGGGATCGGGGATCAGCAGTGGTGTAGATTGAATGCCAACCATCTTGAATTTTGATATCATCATTCCCTTTAAATATTTCTGGAGCCGAAACTGACACAAATTTCAGATCATTAATCCATTCCATGGTTTGAACTGTGCCTCTCCATGAAATCACGATGTCTCTCCTCCCTAACGCCGCCTTCCCTTCATCAGTAGCCACCGCCACGTACCCTATCCAGTTTGATTCCTTGCTCCAGGCCTCCCTGGACAATGACTTCACAAGAAAGGAAGGAAGGGGAACTGACGATGTTCCATAGAAATATTTTGTCACTTCGTACCTAAAAGGGTTTCCTTGCTCGATTTCAACTTTTGACAAAAGATTACTACGACTGTATAGGCTATTTCCAGCGTGCTTTGATGCCTTCTCAGAATTAAAAGCATCTCGTGCTGCCTGAGCCATCTCCCCATAGTGGATGATGTATCGCCGGAGATCGATGTCTAGAGGATCTAACAGGCCTAACCAATTGTCTTCTCCACTTAGTGTCTTCCATCTGTTGGATATGCTACCCATTTTTTTCTGTCTTTCTGAAAATTGTGTTGCTTGTGTGTATGCTTATCAGTGATGTCTCAAGTTGTATATAATGTTGAACTTGGTGATTAAATATTCTTGAGGTTGGCAAATAAAATGAACATGCTTCATCATATCATAAGATGATAAGAATGGTGTTCATAAAATATTTACACGACTCCTTCAATAATAAAATTTATATCATAGTTTTTCTCTGTCCATGGAAGAAACTTCTTTTATATTAATTTATGAACACGAAATGTAGTGAATTATCAATATATGTTTTTAGAAAATACAGAAAAAGAGTAAAATGAAAGAAATAATAAAATACTTTGTAATATTTTATTCAACTCAGTTTAATGGACTGACTTTTAAATAAGTTGAATAAAAATGATTTTTTTAAATCATTTTTATATTAATGAATAAATGTTAATTAAACTTGCTATACACATTGAAGGTATATACATTAAACGTTAACATGACATCGTATTATAATTGAATTTAATTAATTGAATTGGATGCCACGACATTCAACCATTCTATTAAAATTTCCATTGTGAATAACGTTAACATGACATCCGATTATAATTTTCATTGCGACATTCAACCGCATTCAGCTATTCTATTAAAATTTTCATTGCGAATAATATGTTTTGTTAATGACAACCCGTCTTAATTTGAACATTGTAGTATGCTATTTTCAATTTTACTACTTCATTTCTTTTATTTTTCTTATTTTTTTTATTTCATTTCGGGTTAAACATAAAGTTACTTAATTTTCTTAAAGAAAACTTGCATTTTTTCTTCATATGTTTGATTTTTTCTTTTGGGAGAATTTCATATATGCCCCTCTTAAACTTCAAAATATCATATTTGTCCAGCTTAATTTCTCAATATCATATTTACCCTTCATAAACCTTCAAAATATCATATTTGCCCAAATCCTTTTTATAATGTTTTTAATATTTTATAATCATTTTTTATACCTTAGAATTATTATAACAATTAAAAAATTTAACCATATTATCGTTACGTCTATGATAATGGAATGTGAACTTGTAAATTGTTGGAATGTCGCCCTCTTGACAAACAAAAAGATTCATCTTCAACCCTCTTTATGGAATGTATATTTTGATTGTTTAGTTTTTGTTGTTGTTGATTATTATCATGTTGTAGATGGAGGATATTTTAAATATTACTATTGATATTTTGATGTTTAAAAAGTATATATACAATATTTTGATATTTAAAAGGACATATATGATATTTTGATGTTTAAAAAGGACATATATGATCTTTTGAAATTTTATGAAGGGTAAATATGATATTTAGAAATTTTATGAAGGGTAAATATGATAATTTAGAAATTAAGTTGGGTATATATGATATTTTGATGTTTAAGAAGGGCATATATGAAATTCTTCCTTTTCTTTTTTAGCAACTTTACCTATAACCTATCGGCTTCAGAAAAAAAAAGTCACGACATTTTTTTTTCTTTCTGAAAAACCCTTCATTTTTTTTTCCAAAAGAAATCATCAACTTTTTTTATTTCCAAAAATCTCGCATTTAATATAAAATTTACTTTGAAAAACAACTTTTTCACATTGGCTTATCATTTCAATGCTTATATATTCTAGTTAGTTTTAATATTTTTAACATTAAAAGAAAAGAAAACATCTAGTGTTTTTTTTAAAGAAAAAGGGGTGTGTCCAATCATTATTACCAAAATGTATACAAAAATTAATTAAAAACATATGTCTAGTGTTGCTTAAGAATAATATTTATAATCATGAAAGCTGAGATTATATTCCAAATATAAAATAGTGTTTTTAAAACAATCTAAGAGAAGACTACCTTAGAGTGATGTGCTTTGCCTACAACAATCCTTAAACATGTTGCAAATAGATTTTGATATGCATTTTGCTAACATTAGTCTTTGTCTTTGTTTCAAACAAAATGTAACATCCGGTAACCTAACTTACTAATTTATTCTTTCATTTTGCATATTGAGGGTCTTCACGATGTGAAGTCTTAGGGATCACATCGTGACCGACCGTTGACATGTTGACCCGCGGTTTTGGGAACTCACGACGTGAGGCGTAGGTCTCACAATGTGGGATCGACTTTATGACCCAAAACCCTAATTTTCGGGTATTTAAGTGAATGAGAGGCTAGGGTTATCCATCCTCAGCCTCTCTCACCCTCTAGGCCTCTAGAAAACCATAATCTCGAATCTCTTTAAGCTTTTATGCATTTTTGAAATCCATGAAGCATTTTTTGGTGCTTTTTGGTTACTTGAGGTAGAAGAAGATATTGGTTGAGCAACCTCTTGGTGTTTTGGCTATCATCTTGCAATCTCTTGGTGCTTTTGGACCATTGTAAGTCATAAAGTTGGCAACTTTATGGATCAATGGCTTATTCTTCATTATAGTCTTTAGATCTGACTTTTGGTGAAGTTTGGAACTCCAAGTTTGAGTCTAGATCTCATTGTCCCCACTTTTGCTCTAATAAGAGTTTGAGTCATGCATTGGACATGCATGACTGAAAAGCTTTGATTTTTATCATCTTTTGGGTAAAGGAAGACTCCCTAGAAAGTCCCAAGTTATGGCTAAAAGGATTAAGAGCTTTAGTGTCCTAAGATGGTATGTTTAGATCTCACGACGCAGGGTTTAGGACCTTCACGTCGTCAGGATGTTGGCCACCCCATCTGTTTTGTCTGGACTAGGTCACGACGTGACTCAAGTTGGCCCAATTGACGTGACCATGTCCCGGCCACGATGTGAAAACCCGTTGTTGGAGTTTAGATGTAACATACACGTTCAGTTATCGTGTTATGTAATTTTAAAAGTGAATAATATTATGAAATATTATATGAAATTTGAGTATTGAGTTCTAACAGATGGTTTTTACTAGAAATGAAGTAAAACTATGTTTAGAATCAATCAGAAAATATTGGAAGTCTTATTAGATTCCAATCAAAAGATAAATATCGAAATTTAACGAAAATATAAAATTTGAAATAAGTAAAATTTTATTATTGAAAGTTGTAGATAATTTTGTTAGAAACATTTAGGCGAAAACCTCATCGAAATCCGAGTTATAACGAAGAAGTTATGACCAATCGAAGATCCGCGACAAAACAGGCACGGCGCCGAATGACGTAAAAAGTGAGTTTTTGATAAACTACTTTTTAGCCTTGGTGATCTAAATGAAAGTCGTAGTATTTGTTAAACCGAGAATTTTCATAAAAAGAACGTCCAAATCTGACTTCGTATGAGGAAGTTATGATTTTTCTATGTTTCGGGATAGCAGTAGACAACTAAAAACTCGAAATAACGATCGAGTGATATTTAGCCGAAACAACCTAAACGATAATCGAAGGTCTCATCAATAGTAGTACAACGGTAAAAAGACTGACGAAAATGGACGTCGAATGAAGAAGTTATGAATTGTTAACAAATTTTTCTGTCCCAGTGTGTTAAAAATAATAATATTAAAAATAAATTCAAAACTGGCGAACGGAGTCTAAACGAAAGTTGTACAGCATAATTTTACCTATACGTGCATATAAAGAACGTCAAAAACGGAGCTCGTATGCGAAAGTTATGAATTTTGGAAGTTTTTGGCTCAAAAATCGAGAAATCCTTGAAAACCGAGAAGAATCGCATGGCTCAGCTTCAGACACATCGCCCCTTCTCGCATGCAGACGCGTGTCCGAGCCGGAGAACCAAGCGATGCGAGGTCCAATAGCTTTCCGACGCGTGCCATCTCCGTGTCAAGTCCGAAGCGCGCCAGCTGCCCCTCGCGTCCGAGCCTCGTTGTTGCTGCCGCGTGTCCAAGCCTCGCTGCCACTTGCCCCCTTCCTCTCGCTTCGGATCCGAGGCTCGCACCTATATAAAGGGTGCGAGACCTCCCGGCTAATTTTTAGAAATTAGCACTTTTTCACCCCTAAACTCATATTTTTACTATTTCAACTTCCCCCGAAGCCCTGAAATCATTTCCAACACCCGAAACACGCCCCGAAGTGCCCGAAGAGCCCGATAAATTTATATTTTCGGTTTGAATCTCAAACCTCGTAGGGCCCGGTTTTCAATAAAGCTCCCGGTTTTCAACAAAGAAAGCTATTTATAATAACGAAGTGCTGCACAAATTACTATTATAACCCCCGGTTATTTCACGGTGAGTTCAATATATAGGAACAATTGTATGTTATGTGTTATATGTGCTACGTGCTTTTCCGTGTTATCATCTCGTGTTATTATTTCCGCTACTATGGTAGCAAAGTTGTACCTTTGACCATGTGATTAGGGAAATGACTTAGATTCACAGTGGTACTAGTATGTAGCCTTTGGCCATGTAGAGCATGTCTCGTAAGAGAATGACTTCTATTCTATGGCATTGGCAGAAGGTTAGACAAGGCTGAAAGCCTAAAATCTACCAAAATGTTTAATCAGAAAGTGTATGTCTTCTGTGTCATTTGGGCCGAAGCTTTATTGATGTATATCAAGTATGAAAATTGTTATGTCTCATTGATTGTATATCTTTGAATCAAATCATTGATTGATATTGAAAGTTTGTCACATGATTCACATATGCCTTTGTTCTTCCTTGTTCCTCTTTGCTTCTGCCATATTGAAGTATATATATGACATAACGTTATATTGTATCTATTATTGAACTCACTAAGAGTCACCGCTTACCCCTCTCAATGTTTAACAATTGCAGGCAATAAGCAACCAATATAGTTATATTACTGATAGAAGATTTTGAATAGTTTGAAACTATTGTATTTAGTAATCATGTATGTATAAAAGTATAGTATTATGGGTAGTTGTGTAATATATAACACTTTGTAATAGTCGGTTTGTATCCAGTCTTATGTAAACAAGTTATCAATGTAAAATATTTTTTTATGAATATGCAAGTAGCATGTTTTGGAGTAACAATTGTCAAATAAGAAAGTATGGGTCTTTCAATCATGGTATCAGAGCAGTAGTTTAAGTGAACTAAATATCACAGATTGGTATTTAGACTTAAACTGTTGGAAGTTCAATATATGAACTGATTCATTATAAATATATGAATACAAACCATAA